TTTATTCTTTCTCGCGATCTCCCCTATTTCTCGTGACAATGTACCGTTTGTTTAAATATCTACAAAATATTACATAGACACGTTTCTTACAAAATAACATGTCATACATCCAAACAAAAGGAACTGCAGCTGCAAGGTGTCAGTTCCTGTAAAACTATAGTCTAAGCAAAAATTTTTACGCAAAACTATTCTTCTTGTAATGAGGTGGATTAATGAAATCGGGAATTTACTAAATATTATACCAACTTTTTTACCTTTTGCGAATTAAAAGGAACATATTTATTTGAACTAGAATGCTCTCTTAATACACTGAGAAAAAAGATGTCTAAGAAATAAAAAATATTCAGTGAATACTAACAGTATATTTACTTGTATTGGTATGAAATATTTTTCAAATAAAAAAATATTTTTCAAATAAAAAAATATATATTTTCTCAAAACTTCAGCTTTCATGAAAGCAATTTTTTATTCTATATAAAGATTGAAATATTACAAAATACAAAATATTTTCTAAAGTAATTGTTTATTATATTTAAATAAAAGAATTTAAATTTAACTGTACTATTTGAGTACATAATTTAAATATGTTATTAGTAACCACCGAATAAATATTTTTCATCTTTTAGATATTCTTTCTCTCACAAGTAAACCTATCCAAAAGTTACACTTCGATTTCTTTCTAATTTGGCACAAATGCAGAAGTACAAAAAATATTTAGGTTATATTTTTTCATTTTGGTCCACTTTGAGTTTCACGAACAGTTTATAACTTTTAATCTTCTCCCTCCTATCATCAACAAGTGCAAAAAAATGCATAAGAAATAAAATTGAATACAAGATATAGGCGTTTTTGGTTTGCTGATTATAAATATGAAATCAAATGTGTAAAATTATTTATATAAATAATAAAATGTTTAAACAAAACATGTAAAAAGTTGGAAAAAAATTATTTATACAAATAATTTCTCGGTTTGGTCGAGATTCGAACCATTTTTGACAAATTTAACACAGATTTGAAATATTTCGGTTGGAATCTCAGCTAAAGAAATTTAGAATGGTTCGTATATCAGCTATACCGATTTTGTTAAAATTATTTAACTATATCTTTTACTTAATTTTATTTCTTATGCATTTTTTTGTATTTGTTAATGATAGGAGTGAGAACATTAAAAAGTTATAAACTGCCCGTGAAACTCAAAGTGAGCCAAAATGAAAAAATATGACCTAAATATTTTTACGTCTATATTTGTGGCAAATTAAAAAGAAATCGGAGTGTACCTTTTGGGTAGATTTATTTGTCAATGTAGAAGAAATTTCTATTCAAGACAACACTCTTGTATTCTTGTAGATAAAAGACGAAATTTCATGAACTTTGAAAATATTGTACTTGGATATTTTTCTCTTGGCTTTAGAAGATTTTTTTCTTGAAAGGCCGCATTTTACAAGAGTAAAATTCTCTAGAATTTAGAGGATTTCGCTAAGGATAATATCATATCTTTTTGGGTGTAATTACGTAATTATTATATATTTTTCATTATCAAGTCAAGTATGAATATACGTATTAACGAGCGATCCGAGAACATCGCGAAATTTCACGTCGCGATATTCGCGGAACGGTTTCGGTGTTATCGTTCCCAGCGCCAACCTCTTTTCTCCGCCGGTACCTTTCACCGCGAGAATGCCAATTCGGATTACGATACACGGTCATATTTATGACATCACGGCGCGCGGCTCTGAGGCGGGAATAAACGAAAGTTGCAGGATTACTCTCACTCTCGTCGTGCGCCGAACGGGGACTTGTTTCTTGTGTGCAACGACAACATCGAGAGCGCGAGTGCATCTTGCGCGTTTTCTTACAGCACGGCGTCATCGCGGCGTCTGTTTTACCATAGATGCGCATGCCTTTCTCGTAACTACTGATTACCGATGTCGTTTTTGCGCATTTCAACGTCTCATTGCAACATATTGTGACTGGACGCGCTTTCATATGTATTTTCAACAAGCTAGCAACCTTGCTCGTGCATGGCACAAAAAGGCCATCTATTTTCTAATTACACAGTATCCTTTCTTCGTAGTGCTCGCGAAATGAGTAGTCATAATACCGTTATGACCTGTATAATGAGCGACTGTGCGTATTATTTAGAAACGTCAAAAAAACTATAAAATATTCGATTGCATTCGAGCCTTCCACTGAATTATTCGCTCCAGTTGCTCCTTACAACCTCCACACGTATTATTATAATTTCTATTTTCTCTAAATTGGATATATACGTGTGAACGTGTGAAGATCACACACCTATACCTATACGCTTGATTGATTCCCAGCTCGATATCGAAGAGATATACTTTGGTATTCTGATGATAATTTGTAATGTATCTTTATTTCGCGCGCGCGCACTCTCGCAGATTTTTTCAGCACCGTTACGCTTAAATGAATTTCGTGTTTTCTTTTTATCTACATTATGGTTAGTTAAAAGAAAAGCGAGTCCTTCAGCGGAGCTAATTAGCTAGTGATATTGACTCTTTATGTTTGTCGAAATGAAAGGAGAGACGTAAAGCGCTTTGAATAACTTCCGCGAAAAAGGACGCGCGCATTAGTGAGAGTGTCTCGTGAAAAATTAATATAAAGTTAAGCCTTTCTGATTACACTGAAAACAGGTCAGGTCGGGTTAAGTGCTCAGACGCGACCGCCGAGCTTTTACAATAAAACCGTCCCACTGTTATCCAGGACATTCGCGCCGAGTGTTCTTAGAACACATTTCGCGGGATTGTCCTACAATTTTGTCGAAAAATACATTTGCATCATCACCTTATGCATCTCCAGCGTTATACAGCGTTTAAAATGTCATGACTCACCGAGAAAGCAATTCCAGCTTTCGCGCGTTCTATCAAATCGCGCCGAGATGCCGGGATCTAATTATTCTCGATCACGTGGAGTATCTCAGAACGCCCGGGCTCAATTTTAGCGGATTCTCAATAAATTAGCGCGAATTTAGGACATGCCGTGCACGTGCACACATAGACGATGTTATAAATGAAAAACGAAGAATGTATCAGTTAATATTCAATGTAGAGAGAGAGGGAGAGGCGGGAGGAGGAGGATAAAGCGCGCTACGCGGGTCTCGCTAAATTTACACGGAATACCTGAGTGCATAACGCGTTGCATGATTGCACCGTGTATGATCCAGGATACGTAAAGTTATCGATCTACGCCGTCGGTGCGTAAAAGGCCGTCGAAACACGCCGGAATTCCGGACGCGTGTGCGCACGCGCGCGTTGTTCGCGAAATATTCTTCCGCGTGCAATCGACCACAATCCACTGCCAATGCTCGCCCGGTATGTCCGCAAAGGCATAATATTCAAACGAACCGTGGAAAGTCCACGGAGCCGATCGAGCGTTAAACCGGCGGTACAACCTCGACGAGGATCGAAGTCCTTGAAAGAAAGTCACCGATGAATTGAACCGTCAACGTATAGTGGCGTACCGCTGGTGCTCGGATGTTTTTTGCACGATCGGAATTTCATATTTTCGTTCACGAGGTCACGTTGTAAATAACGTAACGATATCAAATCAAATCGCAAAATCGAGTTCCGCGCAAAATTAAGATTACAAATACTATAAATCGCGACGAATTCCACGATGTAAGTACGTGATAGAATAATTGACTTTGCCTGTTATTTCCGTTTGTTCGAACAGCATGTACACTGAGAGAAAAGAATATTTAAAAAATAAAAAAATATTTATCGGGTGAGTTCAATCTAAAATCTCTTATTTAAATAGAATAAACAATTGCTCCCATGGAAATCTAAGGTTGCAAGAAAGTGTATATTTTCATATTTGAAAAATGTTTTATATTAGTGAGAGAATATGTTGTTAGCACCTGCCGGATATATATTGTTTTCATTAAAAATTAAATTTTAAATTATTTTAAATAATCAAAAATTTTTAATTAGAATTAAATTTTAAATTTTAAATTTTTCACATACTTTTTTCTCTCAATGTGTGAAAATTATAGGTCGTAAAACCAAGAAAGTTAAAGCATTGTCGCCAATATGATAGATGCTACAAACAATTTTGCGCGATAAAGATCAAGCAGGAGCATTTTGTAATACAGCACGTAAATGGCAGAAATCTATTCTGACGCGCGCCTAGTCTGCTCCCGCGGTTCGAATGGCAGACGCATGCGAATCGCGCAGACGAAACGATGCGGAGTATGAGAACGACGTGTCGACTCTTGAACTCGGAGTTCGAAAGCCGCGAGCTTTGCGCCTCGCATGGATCGCGAGAGTGCGAAGTGCTATCTACCACTAGGGAACAATGCTCCCTGCTTTGTATTCGACTCTTGAAAAACGTAGGTCCTGTCTGGCTAACATTACATTGCAAGATATCACCTACAAGATCCGTGTTTTAACAGTCGTTACTTGAAGCTTGTCTCAAGTGAGATTTTCAAAGAGTTTGAATTTAGAGTTATAATAATAAGAGATTTTCAGTTGAAACACGATTACAAATATGAATGTCATAATTACAGATATCAATGCTGTAATTTAGCTCGACTCTTGAAAAACCCCTCTCTCTAATTATATTGCTAGATATCACATTCAAGATCTGTATTAAGTCATTACTTGAAACAAGTTTCAAGTGAGATATCTAGGTTTGAAGATCTAGAACTAGATGAGAGTTTAGATAAAAGACTTTTTTCTGGTTTAATCAGATATAAGTGTCATATTTGTTACAATTTTATTGATAAACTTGGATTTAATTTTAAATAAAAAGTATCTCATATGAAAGACAAATTTCAGATAACAGAGACAAGTTTCAGATCCCATTAATACGGATCCAAGATTCATGAACCATGAGTGAGGTTAAAATGCGTGTCTTTATCGCAAAGAATAATGTATCATATTATACTTCAGTTTCTCTTCGTTCGTCTTTTGTCTTGTGAAATTAGCGAACGCATTAAATCAGGAGAGCTCAGCGCGATACGATCAAGATAAATACCTGTCATATTTAGGTTACGCGTGAAAGTCGCTGCGATGTGGACGAATGTTGCTCTCTCGTTCAAACAAATCGTCCCGTTCGGTGTCCATATTGTCTTTTTTCTTCTCAGCGAACGGTAACGAACACGACAGTCGAGTCTCTGCTGACAAGATTACAGAATATGTTAATTCGAGAAAGCTCCGTGTGCGACGAGATTGAGATAGATCATTTTCATATTCGGCAGCTTACCTTTGAAGCTTTCGCCTATGTGGACGAATATGTTGCTTTCCCGTTCAAACTTATTATCTAGCATCCATATTGCTCTTTCTCAACGTATCATAATCAGCATATCTTTGTCTCTCTTTATCATGCAACAATCAAATCTCTACTGACAAGAATACCGAATATATTAATTCGAGAAAGCTTCTCTCGCGCAATGCGGTTAAATCCAATAATTGTCATATTCGCCTCACCTCTGAAAGTTTCGGGCATGCAGACGAGTATTGCTCTCCCGTTCAAACTTGTCTCGTTTGGCGTCCATGTTGTTTTTTTTCAGCGTATCGTAACGGACTCTCTCTCTCTCTCTCTCTCTCCCGCGCGACAATCAAACCTCTACTGACAAAATCGTATATATTAAGTTGGGAAGGCTTCTACCCTACAATTAAGTCAAATAATTGTCATATTCGCCTCACCTCTGGAAGTTTCGGGCATGTAGATGAGTGTTGCTTTCGTGTTTCAACGAATCGTCTCGTTCAGCGTTCTCATTGTTTTACGCAACGAGCCGCAATAGTGTCTGCCGCGACGTCAGTTGAACGTCTGCTGATGAGATTACCGAATATATTACTTCGAGAAAGTTCCGCGGTGAAATTGAGACAGATAACTGACATATAGACGATTTACCTCGTCGAGAGTTTCGGTTGTACAGACGCATGTTGCTCTCCCGATCGAAAGAATCGTCTCGCTCGGCGTCCATATTGCTCTTTTTTCAGTGGGAATCGTAACGGACTATCTGTCTCTCTTTCTCTCTCTCTATCTCTTTCTCTCCCTCCCTCCTACTTCTACCGCGACGACCGAATCTCTACTGGCAAGATTACCAAGTATATTAATTCCAGAACGCTTCTCGCGGTACGGTTAAGTCAAACAATTGTCGTATTCGCCTCACCTCTACAAGTTTCGGACGTGCAGACAAACGTTTCTTTCCGTTTGAACGAATCGTCTCGTTCGACGTCCATACTGCTCTTTTTCTCAACGGACAATGGCGACATCGCGACAGTCGAGATTACCAAATACGTCACCTCGTTCCCCGTGAGATCGGGGCGAATAATTGTCATATTCGGCTCACCTCTGAAAGCCTCGGGCATGCAGACAAATGTCGCGTTCCGCCGTTTGAACGAATCGACTCGTCGGGACGTGACCGCCTACGCAAAACGGCCGTTCGGGCTGGCTAGCCGAACGCCGCCGAGCACAGCCGAGTTTCGCCGAGCTCGCTGAGAGGACGCGCGAGCGGCGTCGGGTGTGTACGAAGCGCGCCGGTGAGAGAGCACGATCGTTGTTCGAAAAGTCAAATTTTTCGCGTGTGCACGAAGCGTCGAGGATCCGCGTGCTAGGTGTGCTCGTGTTACACGGACCCGTGGGCCAGCAGCAATCGCACGTACATCGTGAATCTCGTCCTCGAGCGCTTCCAGTCGCGAATCGTCCACAGCTCGGCACGTGCCGGCAGTCTCGAGCGAGCCGGCGAAAATCTAACCTAACCTTCAAAGGCAGCTGCGTACGGACAGCGAGGCTCGAGGTAAGCGTAGGAACTTTCGTGACGAGAGACGGGAGCAACGCCGACCATCTCGGGGATTTCGTTAAGAGCTCTCTCGCGATCGGACGACGTCGGAGTAAGAGGCGTGCGAGAATATACATTTCTTGCGCCGTACGTTCTTTCATGGTGGTGTTCAATGTCGCGTCTCCCCGCGTGCCTCTGCCCGCTGTGTGTACGCGCGTGTATGTGTGGCGCGCGCGTATATGTGCGCGCATTTGTGTGTATTTACGCAGGCTTGGAGCGTGAGACCTCTTTTTATGCGCGCTCTGTTTGACGACGTCGGATCGTTGATTATGTTCGTTCGAATGTCTCTGCGAGCGGCGAGTGTTTAGATAAGCTTTCTTTCACAAAATACTTCCCTCGCGTCTCATTCGTCGACCCGTTCCAGTCAACATCGAACATCAGCCACATTGCGATGCAACGACGTGTGTTGTAATGGCGTTTACATATTGTCGAGTGCAAAATTGTAACTCAGACGTAATGATACTCGATATGTTGGCTGGAGTAAGATTCCGCCAATCTCTCCAGCTACACGTCTCGCGAGGTTTGAATCTCGACGGTTTGCCGCGTGTATGTGTGTATATCGAAGGTCTCGATAATTATTGTTCTCGCTCTATCTCCTCTCTCCTTCCCTCTCGGTTAGTTAGGAAATAAATCTATGCTGATCAAATACAATGGCATCTCGACTCTCTTTCTCCGACTATGTACAACCGTGACTTCCAAGCATGTTGATACACAGTATCGACAGTGTTGTCATCGAGACGAGTACGCCGATTTATTCTATATCTCAATCTAAACACTCAGATGCGCAATATATTTAACACTCAAGCTTATCTTCCGTTTGCAGGTACGTAGTCTGCAACTTCCTCTGGGGCAACATCTAACTATTCAGTCAGGGAGTCCTGGGTAGTCGGCAACGACGGGTTTCGCGAACGACTGCGAAGCCGTGTTGGTGAGTAAACGAAAGCGATATACGTTCCATTAACAACGAATTCCAAGGACGACTCGCGCGATGTAATGGCGCGTCAGGCCGCCCGGTTTCCACGTTTTTCTCTATTCCCCTGCGTGTCTCGGGAACGGTGACGATGGCGATGACGACGGCAGCGATGTCGATTCCGAACGCCTGCCGCTCGAGGAAACCCGGCAAAAAATCTTAATTTCTTCAGCATGTGCGCCAGAGGTGACGGATCGCGAGCGATAAACTCGTCCCTCTCTCGTCCACGGCGTCGGCGTCATCGTTCTCGCTCTCGCTCGTTCCCGTGTACATGCGCGGGTGAGACGTGCCTGTGTGCATGCCGTGCCCGCGTGCATGCGTGCGTGCGTGCAGGCGGCGCGCACGAAAAAACCGCCTCGGTTACGCTCGGACTCCGTCTCCGGCGCGCGCTTTTACGGCCTTAGCGGGAGGTTCGGTGTAAAATCGGCCGAGAGAGCGAACGCGGCTGCCGCCGTTTGTGGCACGGCCCGAGATGAAATTATGGGCCGAGTCGTGTTGCAGAGAAAGCACACGCAGTCTCGGAAATTATTATTTTATTACGGCGTCTCTCGGCCGGATGCAAGTGAAACGACAATGGGGCTGCAGCGACAGATGCTACGTACCGTTACCTTCACTGCACTTTTCGCTAAGGTGACCAAATTTCCCAGTCCTGAATTCAGGACATTTCATAAATATGTGAAACGAGGGGAAGGGGATAAAAACATTCGAAAATTATTTGACAATCATTGAAAATGATGATAAATCGAATAGCACTCGAAAAAATTCAGGACAAAGGGTAAAAAATCAGGACGTCTGGTCACCTTAGCTATATATGTCGAGAAGGGAGGAGATTACTCCGTAATAATGTACTTACGATATGTCCTGACGATCGCACGTCATTGTTTTCGGCACTTCAATACTTATTTCCGCATGAGACTCACAGGATACAAGTGAAAGACGTAGCGTTATGTCTGTGGCAGTTGCTCGGCATGAAAAGGTCGCAGACGCGCGCGCTGTCAATCACGTACACTAAAAGTTTATTAGCGCACCGAAAGTGCCAAAAGTGCATGAACGTGAACGCGCCAGTGATACGAATGAGGTCGCGCGTCTACAACGACGCAATCTACGGCGGACACCTTAACCACTTGCTCGAGTTAGGGGCTGAGTACAATAAAAGGAATAAGGAATACTGAAAACAAAAAGTAACGCTATTCCTCTGTTTCTCTATTCTGCGTTGATAAATTAGGTTTCATGTTTTAATATTGAATTATTCCCTATTCTCTATTTCCTGTTCTCTATTCTCGATTCTCTATTCCTTATTCCTTTTATTGTGCTCAGCCCACTTACTAACCACTCTAGACCAATCGCGTTCGTTTCGCACTACAAGGTTGTCATCGTGGTTATTCAATCTAGACGTTGGTAATGAAACGCGCGAAATGCTCGATCTTTTCGCGCCAAGCAGCAGCCATGGGCACACATCGATCCACATTGCTCCGCGTTTCTCGCATCTTTTATCCATCGAAAGTGAGTCTCGCGCGTTAATAAGTCTCGGGAATGTTGAGAATAGCGATGTGCGATCGCCGGGGCGTATCGTGAAGACGTCATTTGTAAGTAATCTTCTCGTTTCCCCTCGCGATCTATGCGGCCGGTGCTTGTCGCGACGTGTCGCGCCAATGTCCCTTACATTTGCTAAAAACATCGACTCGCTCAAGTAGCAATAGAATCGGGCGATCGTCGGATTTATTGAGTGGGAATTAGAAATGCGATGACAATCAGAGAGAAAGAGAGAGAGATGCGGAATATTCAGCCGGTTGTGTTAGCTTATAGAAAAAGAAAGACGGAGAGGGAAGTATCTCATAGAGCGCGTTCTTTTCGGCCGCGGCACCGTTCACATATTGGTGTTTATTTTCAGCGCGATTCAAAAATCGCGCGACCATCTTGATTCTCGATCTTTCTACATCGTGGACACATCGATCGACATCGTTTCGCATTTTACGCGTCTTTAATCCGTCGAAAATAAGTATCTCGCGTGGAAATAAGTATCGGAAGTGTCGAGAATAGCGATGTGTGATCGCCGGGGCGTATCATGAAGACGTCATTTGTAAGTAATTTTCTCGTTTTCCCTCGCGGTAAGGTAATCAGATTTCCCAGCCCTGAATTCGACACATTTGCAAAATGACGTTAAGATATTAAATTACCGGGAGCCGGAACATATTGAAGGAAGGAAGGAATTCGGGACACATAAATGTGTGAAGCGGGGGGAGGGGGGTAAAAGAATCCGAAAATTATTTGACAATCATTGAAATGATGACAATCAGTGTCCCGAATAGCACTCGAAAAAATTCAGGACAAAGGGTGAAAAATCGGGACGTCTGGTCACTTTATTTTCGCTCGTACCGCTCACGTACAGTCGACCGATTAAATGTAGCAATATTTTTCTTCGACGAGTTTTGCAACACGTTCCGTATCCAATAATAAAACTCCTAATAGGATTTCCGTGATTATCACATCATTCACATTGTGAAACAATAATAGGAACTCTATAATTTCTTTTTAATTACGTTTATTGAGGCAAATATATTGTATTGAATTAATCATTAAATTTATGTTATATAATAACATAAATCTATTGTTGCATTCATGTAGCAATAGATTTACTAAAAGCTACATTTAAATTTTCGTGTTACACATGACGTGACATGTTGTTTCAAGTAAAAATTTCAATAATTTTTTTCCCATTCCTTTCGTATTTCTATTTCGTCATTTCATATGATAAATACATGAGCGCCATGTGAGAACCGTTCATAATGAATGTAGTCT